ATTCTATTTTCTCCATAACGTTTGACATAAGAATCTTGAATTGTTCGTTTCCGAGTGAGCCTACATTACTTCAAAATTTTGCTGCCATTATATGCCCTTTCCTTTCTGTATTTGTGCACGCATATATATTAGATTGATAGTGATAGGAAAAAATTTCACAAATAAAAATTAAATAACAAAAGATTTTTAAATTTCTAAAATATTGGCAAAAGTGCAACTTGAAGAAGCGTGTATTCACTCGAGGAGAGAAAATACAGATGAAATATAGTTTAAATATGTGAATGCTAGTGCATGTGCGCTCAGACGGCCTTCGGCCGCCTCCGCTACCGATTAATTGAGTATTTTGCAATGCTGCAATTCTATTGGTGAGTTCCATAGACTGCCTGTAGCAAGAGAACGATTGAATTTTTTTTGAAAAAAAGTGGACGTCGACCTTTCTCAGCACCCAGAAAAGAATTGTAAAAAGTTAAGTGACGACTGCTATAGTAGTGACTGAGTGTATCGCGAACAAACAAACACACAAACATACATTCATTCTTCTTTATATAAACAAATGAAATCCGTTACATCAATTTACTTTAAAAACATCGAAATGAAACTTTAAAATATGTTATTTTATATTAACTACCTTATTAGTGCAATTAGAAGACTTGAGCTTTTTAAAATAAGCTCTGTTTTAGCAGTCATTTTAGATACAAAACTCATTACCTTAGATTTCCCCTGACGAATTTCACATTTTTTCCCCCATATTTTAAACACTTAATTTTATTGCTTCACGTAAACCACAGAACAACTCAGAAAAAGAGATGTCATGTCTTTTCGCCATGCTAGTACTTAATATCTTCCACGACGAGATTTATCTTCCATTTATTTTTAGTGGTTCTTCAAATAAAATTTCTAAATGAAATTATCATTTCCGACAATCTTAATATAATTTTATTTCTTTAATTTTCTGACAGTCTTAATTACTTTTATTCAACACGAAAATATTAACGGTGTACAAAATTCTATCTTTAAATTGAATCAGCCACATTAAATAAAATGGCAATAGAGCATCTTCCGTTGCTGTGATGCTTAGTTAATTTCTTTCTTTACTCGGGAATTAACGATTTCTCGTCTGAAATTTTAAATCCATAAAACGATATACTTATGTTGAGAGAAAATGAAAATACGATGTGAATTTCTTAAAAACCAGCAGCATTTTAAGTTTTAGCCATACTCATAAGTGCAAATAACTACGACTTTGAAGACGAATTAAATATGGATACAAAACAAAAACTCGACCTCTTAGTCTCATTCAATATGTAATGTTCCAACCTATAATTAACAGCTAAATGTGTGGAACCTTGAGAACTGGTGAGCGAATAATCGCTTTAGTTCAGTAGATAAAAAACAGATACTCAGGAAGGATTAATTACCCTTTATTGTCTAAGTGAACAGAAGGTCATCTCTCAGGACATACAAAAAAGCCTCTACTCAAGAATACTAAAACTTAACTAAAGAAGATATAGCCGAAGCTATCAAAATTCTACAGGAGTTGGCCCCTTAACGCAAACTAAACGGCGAAGCGCAAGTTACGGCGCAACTGGGCATGAACAAACTAGTGGAGGGAAAAATTCACTCACCAGCTTTGGACATGATGAATTTGAGCATGGACAAGAGAGTGAAGTTAAGGCAGTTTGGCAAGAAATTTTTCAGACTTATTTGATGATATCCCAGGGTTCACTGAGGTGGTAAATCATACAATACAAATGGCAGATCATCCCTCGTGCCGAGGAAAAGCTTCACACTGTGATAAGTTCAGGGAAGAAATTACAGAAAAGCATATTGCATAAACGGTGAAAAGTAAAACTATAACCTCCATAAGTAGCCCTTACGGTTATATACTTATAGTACTATAGCCCTTACGGCTTATAGTAATATGCCAAAAGAAAAATAATCTTCCAGACACTGATTTTTAAACCATATTGTTTTGCTATTGACTAAAGAAAACTAAATAGCACAGCAAAATATCCAGTTTACCGTACAGGAAATAATTGAGAAAATAATTAGGAAAATTAAATCCAAGAATACATGACGACGCTAGACCTCACCTCGAAATATTTTCAGATATGAGTGAAATTAGAGGACGGGCCCAAAACCATATTTATTAACAAATCAGGAGTTAATGCCTTTTTCAGAATTCCGTTTGGCCTGTGCGAAGCAAACGGATCGTTTCAGCGAGCTATCGATATAATACTAAAACCTGTCCTTGAAAAATACTTTTGTTTACGTAGATTACATAATTGCCAGTAGTGATAAAATTGATGAACACATTCGAGATTTGCACGAAGTCTTCTTGCTTCTAAAATAAGCAGGCTTAATAGACGAATGCATCAAAATGTAAATTCGCATTAAAAAAAAAAAACTTCAACACCCGGGCTGTCAGATATCTCAGAGGGTAACTGAAATGGAAGATTCTAAAATTGTAGCGATAAAAAGAAATTGTCCTCGTTTTTTGTGTTTGTGCTTCTATTATAGGACTTTTATAAAATATTTTGCTCACATAGCAGAACCTTTTTAAATAGTTCTGCTATGTGAGCAAAATATTGTCAATTTAAAAAGGGAAAAAAGAACCAGATTCACTTGGCTTGCAGAAGCAAACACGACGTTTGAAAGACTTAAAACGGCATGATTCTATGCTTCTGTCTTAAAATTTCCTGAAGCGGATGCTAAATTAGAAATCTCCGCAAATGCATCGGTTTTCACAGTAGGAGCCGTTCTTATGCAAGATGGACAGCCAGTTACATATTTTAGCAAAACACGAAGTCCAACTCAAAGAAATTATACCACCATCGAGAGAAAAACTTTAAAAGTCCTGTTGGCGGCTCTGAAATTTCGAATTTATTTTGGAAAAACGCCGATTACGGTGTGTACGGACCATGCGGCCAACTGTTCGTTTGTATTCTGGGAAGAATTTATCACTCAGACTAATAAAATGGGCTCTTAAATTGCAAGATTCTCGGGAAACAGAACTTTGTAACGAATGCTCTATCACGAATTAAACTAGATACGATGAAAAAGACTGAAACCTGCCATCTTCATTTTTAAACCTTTAGATTCAAAAGGAACAGCTTTCTCAGATGTATAAACACTCGGAATTTAAAAATATTAATGCATAGTTGAAACATCCCGACCATTTTGAACACCATGATATGACGGGTATTGGGAACAGAGCTGCAAATTACGCTTGACAGAAAGTTAACTACGCTCCTCGATAAACTTTTTTTTTTTTTTTTTTTTTTTTTTTTTGCTGCTGTTGTTGAAGAGAGGGCTGCACAATTTAAAAAGTAGGCATTCTGAAATTAGTGGTTGAGGCAAATAGATATTCGATATTGCGCAGGCAAAATAAAAATTTTATTATGTTAAAAAATAAAAGGAGGAAAGTTTATTTTAAGATGAGAGATAAAGTCTTGAAAATTAAACATTCTATTTCGTGCGCACCAGAAAGAAAAGCTTGGAAGTTTTGTAATAAGTTTTAGGCCCATTTTTAGCTGAGCAAATAAGGGAATAACTATGAGCGCGCTCATATGCCACTGTTTAGAGAAACTCTGTAAGGATCACGTAGTAGGAACAATGAAGAAGCACAGTAATAGTTTTTCATTTCTTTTTTTTACGTGCATTTATCATTTTTTTTTTAAGATCAAACTCCAAGTGGGTTAATATATAGGTAAACCAGTAATTGCGAATACATATATAAATGCTTTATAGTTATAGATGCACACCTCCGGTTTTGCAAAATCACGCAATTTGGTACTGGCAGTAATACTTAACGTATGAAAATAAATTTCTGTTTTGCTCAAATAATCAGACAGTTTGCTTAAAAATATTTTTTTTCCTTTCTCCGCATATGAAATTCAGTTATCAGAATAGATTAATTATTCAAATTTAACTCAGTCCTCTCAGTTCGGATACCCAAGGAAGTAATGTGCAGTAAATCTCCTAATATCTGAAATTAACTGAGCCACCTGAATTAACAGCCTATTCAAATGTCCGAAAAATCACGATAATTGCACTGTAAGCTGAATATCTATATGTGTTGCAAGGAAAGACATTTTGTTTTCCTTTTATCGCATTTCAAAAAAGTTTTTTTTTTTTTTTTTTTTTTTTTTTTTTTTTTTTTTTTTTTTTTTTTTTTTTTTTTTTCTTTTTACGTTTTACTTTAAACAGGGGTTATCTTAGAGGATTAAAAGAAAAGTGAGGTTTATCCAAAAAAAAAAAAAAAAAAAAAAAAAAGTCTTACACCTGGAAAGTGCTAATAGAAGGTATCTGACTACATTTGCGCTTTATACTGCAAGATAACAATTTCTTGGAGTGAAGATAATTGACATAAATTCACCACTTTTGTTTTATCGGTTTTCAGAAAAGAAGAGTTATTCCCGCTGTACAGAAAGAACAATAGACTTACATATTCGTAACTGCTTTTTCATGAATGTTTTATAGGTTTCATATTTTTCAAATATTGCATATATATAAATTCGTTTTAATTAATTTTGCTTAAAGTATCTGTTATTCTTTAATATTAATTCTCCACCAGAAGAGCTGCAACGCGGAAATTAACAGCAACCTTAAATTTATTTAAAAATGAGATCTAAAATTTTGACGAAGTGATCCGGATATTTAAAGTCCAAAATAATGTTCCAGTGTAATTTTATTTCATTTCGCCAATTTTTATCTCAATGTCAAGAAAGAGAAAAATCTCTTCAGGAAGCCAACAGACATTAGCGTGATCGTTTTGCTTCCAAACTTACCTGGGAGATCATTCAAATCATCGCTACTCCTCGCATCTCTTCGACGCTCTCTCTTCCCGCTAACTAGACAGCAAACGAAGGAAAACAGAACACCCAGCGCCAATCTCAATCTGCTACTCTCATTGGCGAGCAGTACGCGTCACGTGACGAAGCAGACGAATAAAATCATTGCACTCCGGCGGCGCTGAGCGATTTCTATGGGCAGCGAAAGAGAGTTTGCGAGTCATTTCAAGCTGCGAGACTCGTCGGTTTCGGACGGAAGCTCGTGCGCTTTTCAACTTAGGAAAAACTTGACACAGAGAAGTTCAAGAATTTTGTTTTTTACTCCTCCGAACGTTTAACTTTAAATTTCAGTTCTGGATGATATGACATCCTGTGCGCCGGATGGATTTTCCCTGTTTGTTAAATTTTATTTTATTATTTGTGGTGTCTTGTTTAGATATATTTCAGTGAGCGAGTGTTTGCGGATTTTTGCAGATACTTTTTCAAATTTTTGTCGTGTGAGTTGGATTGTAAGAGTGAATCGACTTTAAAGGTTCGATGCGTGCCAGCGGATCCATGAGGAGACATATGTCTCCATGGTTACTTGTTGATGCCACATGTTAATATTCAGGTAAGTCTAAGATTATTATTTAATTATCTCTTTAGGATAAATGATTGTTGTGTTGCAAGAAGATAATACAAACGTACGCGTTTTACGGAGCCGCAGGGCAATAGTATTCACTTGAAAACTAATGCTTTAAAAATATAATCAGCAGTTAATCAAATTTTACATAATTTGTTGATTTAAAAAAAATTTCCTTAATTATCTACAAAAATTAGTCTACAGTGATGAAGTAAGTGAAATATATTTCTAGCTAGGATTGCTAAATATAGGGATATATAATTTTATCGTGTTAAATTATGAACTGCTAAAGAACTTTTATTGTCGAAATTGACAATTTTAAAATGCCATGACGGTTTTCATTTGAAAAGTTGGCAGCTGTAAATTGTTAAAACACTTTTCGTTTACAAAGCTGGCAACTGTACTGTATAACATTTTTCTTTTGCAAAGCTGGCAACAGTAAATTATCAAAATACTTTTAATGAAGATACCAGGAAACAAGATTTCTATGACAGTTTTCGTTGGAAAAGCAGCTTGCCGTAAAATTTCTTACATTAATAAAATCAGTAAAGTAAAAAAAAAAAAAAAATATTTCTGTTTGCATCAGTTTAAATATATTTTACAAATAACTGAACTCACAGTTTCTTGTATTCATATAATTTAGTTGTAAAGTGCATTGTTTAGAAGTCTGGATTTCATATTTTTTTCTTTCGTATTGTACTGTGTTTTACAGCATGTGTATGTTTTTCTTTCGTATTTTACTGTGTTTTACAGCATGTACATTTTGTCCTATATATGCTCTTTTGTAATACATGAATTAATTTGTTTTAAGTATGCTATTTGCTTGCATGTTAAAAACTTAACAAGTGCATTATAGACTATTGGAAATTACTCTTTTCCTTGCAAGATAACACTTTAAAATAGGTCGAAATGGAGCAACTGAACATTAGTAGAAATTCATTCTTATTGCATCAGAAGGCATCCAACAGACAACCATCGCGTACTTTTACGTAACTAATTATTTTTATCTTTGATTACAAATAATTTATCAAAATCTCCAAATTTCAATAATACATTTTGATAAATTATTTGTAATGAATTTTCAGTTCATTTCTTCGTAAAATCTTCAATTGAGATATTTTTTCAATTAAATTAGTATTTTATGTATATTTATACCCTAAAAATGGAGATTTATTTCCGTTATATTCTAATGAAGACTTCGCCTCTAATCACACGTTGATAATTTTCGTCTGAATTCTTAATTATTCCGAACTCTTTAACGCCTTCCCCTGTTTTGAGTATTTAATTTAAATGCACACAAAAGAAGTGCCCACATAAATAAAAAATGTTATATTTTTAAGTTCATTTTTTGTCAGTCATTAAGTTATTTTGGTTGAAAATATCATATTTCAGTTTGCGAAACATTTTTCTAAAATTCTGTAACATGTATTTTGATGTATTTAATATGCGTAAGACTGGCCTAACTGCTAAAGAATCGTGTAAAAGAATTCCGAAGATCGAGCTAGTCATCTGTCTGTATTCCAAATATGTAATTGCAAATAATGTGTTCTTAATCATTATCCAAAATTGTTTCCCAAATACTATTTTCAGCTTCACACAGTTTGTGGAAAATCAGTTGAGGATTATTTCATTGAATATACTGAGGTAATTTTCTTGTAATGCCAAAATAATAATAATAATAATAATAATAATGGCACTATGGGAGATTGGAATTACGGAGAAAAAATATGTTTGCGTTTCAAAAACGTTTCTTAAAAATTACAAGATCACTACATGGCGGGGGGGGGAAGTTTTGTTTAATTCGCAGAATTTTACTACACAAAATACGTAAACTAAAAAAAAAAAAAAAAGAGTAAAATTCAAAAAAATCCTAACATTTCTTTCATTGTATACATAAAAGTAAATTTTTATCGTCAACACTTATTTTTCTGAAATAGCGATATTTATTATTAGAAATTGCTGGAATATCTTCATTATTCTAAAATTCTTAAATATTTTCATAGCTTTCATTACTAAAGTTTTCCTCATTTACAGATATTCTACCGAGTAATTAAGTCATAAATATTCCCTTTTTACTTCCCATAACTATATATCGAAATCGCGTTGTGTAGGTATCACATTATACGAAAACTGCTACAATCTGTTTGCGTATTATATCGAAATCCCATTATTATGAGTGTCACATTATACTCAAGGGTAACTTGAAGTATCTATTATATTCTGCGAGCATTTAAGTACTTTGATTTGAAATTCTGAGCCAATATCTATCTTATCCCTGCTTTTAACTAACACACATATAATCACATATTTATCATTCATATTCTTAGCAATGCACGAAGCTGCCCAGACGATATAGTGGTTAGGGTAGCCTAATGCGGTACCGAAGGGTCCTAGTTCGAATCCCGGAGAAAGCATGGATGTTTGTATATGTATAATGTCTTTGCAGCATGGGGGCACTCTGAATATATGGCTTTTACTTGCCACGATGTATTTCGTGGGGTTGTTCTGATAGTACTGTCAGACAAGGAAGACAAGTCACAACACAATGCATGAATGTGTATGAAATTATAATTGTATAATGTATAAAAAATTTATTAAAGACATTTTTAATTAATGGATTTTATCCGTAGATAACGTAAAATATGCTTAATTTATTCTTTAGAAATATAGCTATTTATCAACATATATGTTATTTCAGCTTGTCGCTAACATGTTAGATTTATAAACTAATTATTTTCCAAAAAATAACAATGAATGTTTGTTTATCACATTTGATATCTCCGTAAAAATTTTTGAGAAACCAAAAAGTTTAATTAATTGAACATAAGAATTAATGGGTCTAAAAGTATTAATCTCATTTACAGAATACTATTTGGTCTAAATAAAATTATAAAAATAAAATAAAATAAATAAAAATAAATAATGATAAAATAATCTCAGTTTACAGGTGCATGTTTCACATTCTTCGAAAATAATAAGACTGTATTTTATCCTTAAAATCATATTACGAAATCCAAATTCGTCTTGCGTAGTCTGACATTTTAAAAAATAGATTATATATCTCTTATTTATTAAATATTAGAATAAAGCGAATTAGTTTCACCAAAATTATTATTTTCAGACAATTCAACAATCTTATAAAATATTTTTAGCACACTGAATGCAGTGAATTTCGCCGTCTTACTGGGTTCGCGATTCAAAGCCGATTTCTTTTATAACCTATTCTACGTAAATATCCTTCTTCTTAGGCAGACGGCCGAAGCGTGCTTTGCCGTAATCAAATAAACCAAACCAAACCTAGGCCTTCTTATATGCTGTTGCACAGTAATGGCCATCTTAAATATTCTTACACAGAGATGCTCTTACATCTAAAATGATTAGAAAATTTTTGTTTTCTAAATATGTAAGGCCATCTTATGTTAGAGGACATCTTTTTTCGGTGTGGGTTATTTTTGTCTTATTTCATGCAGTGCATGACTTTTGAATTAAAATAAGCACCTGTACTATTTTCTGTAAACTAATTAACCAGGCGAAAATTGTTCGTAGTAAGAGATGTAAGATTTTAATTTGTTGCTGTGCAAAATTCGCTATCCAGCTTGTTTAATTCCTACTGCTGTGGAATCTTCATTTTCAAGATTCATCTAATAAATGCCGGCATTAAATCATCTTAAATTCAAATACTTAGTACAAAAGAATATTAACCGAAAGTTCAGCTGTCAGAAAATGCAAAAATCAAAACTGTAGATTTGTTGCAATTTTAATAACATAATGATTGAGAATCTCCTAATAGTTACTATTAGTATATGCATAGCTGATGAATGCCGACAGTATTTAAGCCATTAACGTACATCCCAATCTTTTTAACCCTCCTTTTAAGATTACTTTTGCAAACTGCCGTTTCCCTTCCTAACAGCAGAATTAGAAACGACACAATTTAAGTATTCCACATCAATTTTTCAAATTCGGAAATATTAAAAAAAAAGTATTTAAATGTATTAAATGCAGTCGTTCACTAAATTTCTGCTCCTGCCAGTGGATTGCGCCTGCGCAGAAGCCTAAATTTATTGCTTTTCCCGAAGAACTGCATTTAATTGCTTTTAAAATCTAAAACAATATTATTGTATTTAAGCAATATTTTTCTAATTATATACGCTGTTTTTTGGATGATGAAGAACATCTTCTGTTCGGGCTTATCAGACTAACTATATGTAGCATAGAAAACTTGCAAGGACCTTCAAAAGTTTAAAATTCTTCATACTTGTAAACTGGCAGTAAATTCTCAATTCTTCGTGTTCTCAGCATCCATCGCTATCTGGGCTATGCACAGCTGGATGCGCCGATCCACATCTTAAAAATGAATAAGAATATTTCAAGCGGAAGCGAAGAAACACCATCCAGCTACAACGCTTCTGCCGACGCGGAAAAGCTAAAAACCGTTAACTAACTGTAGCTGTGCCTTTGAATCGCATTTCGGTCAGCGGCTTATTTAAATATGCAATTAACAAAATCACATAAAAATCCCACTTGGCCAGACGCAGGTCCAAGGTCCTAACTTGTTACCGAGATCCATTAATTTCCCACGCAGGAAGACCGGCCGATCAAAAAACACACCACCGACTGGCCACTGGATCTCGAATCGTTCGTGGCAGTGGTACGTAAACGCAAAATTGAAAAAATGGAAAGAGCGCATGCAGCTGGGATGCTATTTTCCAACGCCACCTGTTAACGTTTCGTCACGAATTCGGCGCTGCTTTTGACAACCAGAAGTTTATTGGTATTTCACGATCTGTTTTTTTATTTATTTTTGATATACTGTTCTTCTGTCTGGATAGCAGTGGGGCAACGCACTCGGCGTTAGGTTTTGAGTGATTCGACAAATTCAGTTGTTAGTGGAATGCTTACAACATTCCAGCTGCAACACTGTATAGCATCTGCATTCTTTCAGTTCAAAGTATTTTAATTATTTGCCTGCAGCGAAAATAGAAAAG